GTTACAATATATATTTTTGAAAGAATTTTTACTTTACAGCATTTTTTCACACCTGCCTAAACCTTTTACACAGTACTGTATGTTACATGTATGTGTGCATACACATGCACGCAAATGCATATGTACCCACTGAGGTAGCTGTTTAGATTCTTAGTTTCTGTTAGGTCTCTCCCTCATATGCCACTAAGAAGAGCATCCACATTTTTCACCACCTTTGTTCCCAGCATCTTTAGCACAGAGAAATATGTGCATTATCAAAACTATTAGCTGTTACAAATGAAATTCACAGTGAAACATCTAGTTAGCTATCTATGCCATCTTGTGAGATACTCTGTTCCTTCCTACAAATTCACAAATTTTTAGTTACGTAGAGCAATAGTGGAAAAGAACTGAGGCTCTGGAAGGTGTCTGACTTGCCACTCCTGGACAAAAGTAGTCTTTGGTTTGATCCAGTAGAGCCTCTCTTAACTACTTTGAAATATGCCAAAAGTTGAGATAGTCCAGGCACAATAAATAAATAATGTCTATAGAAATTGTGGTTACAATTTGGGGGAGGAGAGAGATTAAATGGTGAACCCCAGAAAACTCCTCTGAAGCTATGGATTTCCTTCCTTGTCCAGTTTGACAGTTTTCCTGTCTTCTCAGCCTGACTGGGAAGGAGGCAAATCTTGAGCAACTCATGCAGAGAAATACAGGGCAGTTCATTCTGAAGCACATACTTCTCGTGCATCAGGAACAAATGGATCATCCAGTTTCATCTTCTGTACTGTAACACTGACTTAGAAGGAAACAAGTCTGGAGCAATTGTTTATACAGGCATCCTCCTCTATGGACTCATCAAATTAAATTCACCAAATCCACTAATTATTTAATTGTTTAAATTGTAGAATGGTGCCCCAGTATGCAGTTTGGGAAGTACAGGTCTGACCTGGCTAAACGTTTTAAAGTGAAAGGAGAAAGAGGAACTAGAAGGAAGTGCTGGTAATGTTATTTGAGCACTCCAAGAAGACAATACAGTCATCAATACACTTTACAATATCTGCTTTTGAATGATCTCTTTAACACCTCAGACTATTCTAGTGTAATAGCACTCATCTGTAGTTGAATGAGAAGGACTCAGAACTGAGTCTCGTCCTAGTTCTCACCATAATCCCTATACCACACTGACTTGGCATTAATCCCAAACTTCAACCTAGAACCCATTTTAGATACTCTGCTTTTATATCTTGGTTATTTCTTGGCTTGGCCTTGGGCAAGCTTCTGCTTGTTAATTTTCCTTTCTGCTAGGGAGTAGTATAAAGGAGGTGAGGAGACTGTGTGGATAGATGGTGACTAACAGAAGCCGTGAAGGAAGTCTTCCATACAAGGAAGGAAATCTAAATCAAGCATATAGTCATGCTGCTGGTTTATCTTGTTCTTTCCAGTTTCTAAGCTTGTACTCCCTCTTCTCTTGCAAGGACACAGTCTTACAGTAAGGGAAAAAAAATAGAAAACTTTAGTGATAACCTTCAAGGTTCAAATCACATTATTTTGTAGATTTTGCCTCAGACTTGGGCATTTGATGGGGAGAAGGGAGTGCAGATGTACATTATAACATCATCACAAAAGTGCCATGCCTTACAATTTAATGATGCTGTCATCATGAGTGGAATCGTTTTGGAATAATCACAGCTTTTTATGGGTGCCACTGTCAGGGATATATCTCTTCTTTTTTCACTAAAATTGATGTTCCAGGTATAATCACTAATCAAAGAAGAATCATCTCTCTCTCTCTCTCTCTCTCTCTCTCTCTTTTTTTTTTTTTTTATCCGTAGTGACTGCCATGTCTTCTGACTGGCTAGTGTTTCAGGTGAATGAGGGAGTAGATAAGCTTTTGGCTTGGTTTAGCATTGTCAGGTTCAGCCCAGAGAACTCCACAAGACAGTACAGATACAGTTCTGTTGCATTTATTAGCTTCCATCTCAAAGACAGAAATCTCTCCAGACGGAATCTAAACTTCCCAAGCCAGCAAGCCAAAACACTCTGAATTCCTTAGAGTGGTGCCAGTCTCATCTTCTTAACCTTCCCACGCTCCTGTTGGGGGC